TGGAGTTTTGCCAGCAGTTCCTTGCTCATCCAGGCAGGTCTCCTGCCCGCTTTGCTGGACGTCTTACTCAGAGGGATGCACTGATCTTGAGCCTGGAGGAGGTGATGCTTGAATATTAGCCAGCTTTCTTGGACCCCTCTTCCTTCTAGGGCCCTGTCCCATGAGATTCCCCTAAGTAGGTCCCTGAAGAGGCCAAAGTTAACTCTCCTGAAGTCCAGTGCTGCAATCCTACTCATTGCCCTGCTCCCTCCTCGTAGGAGCCTCAACTCCACCATCTCATGGTCACTGCAGCCAAGGCTGCCCCCCAACCTTCACATCTCCAACTAGACCTTCTTTGCTCGTTAGTACAAGGTCTAGCATTGCACCTCTCCTTGTTGGCGTCTCCACCACCTGAGTCAAGAAATTATCATCAATGTTCTGCTGCAGGAACCTCCTCGACTGTTTGTGCCTAGCTGTGCTAGGCATTCAACCATTTACTTCTACCCCCTTTTAACCAGTTATTTACCCTGCTTCTTACACCAGGGCTGCTGGGCATCCTTGGTGAGCTAGACCCATCTCAGCAAACCTGCCTCCCATACAGCTTGACACGAAAGGTCTATGTGCAAGGCAGACCAGGGCAGTTCCAGGACAGGCTAAGGGTTTATTTCATGCTCGGCTAGACACCAGCCTGAGCACACTTCTCCTGGCTCCCCACTGCCGGGCAGTCACCAAGCCTGGCAAGAGGGGCAGAAACGCGAGGCTGGTAGCCAAGGGAAAGGGAAACTGCCCTCTCTAAACCCTGCACAGCCTTGCCCCGTGTGCAGCCAGCTGTGAGCCAGCAGCAGCTCCAGGGTTTCTAGTCATGGCAGGGCCCAGAGCCATCTCTGAAGGGCACCAGCGGCAGCAGGGATGCGATTGCATTAAGCATGGAACTTCGTACCGTGAGCGACCCTGGTGGGATCCAAAAGCAAGTCAAATATGCAGGAACGCAGCAATGTGAAATTCTTTTGGTTGCTAGTCTCCTGCCACCTTGGAGCGATGCCAAGGCAGGAGGCCAGGCAGGACGTAGGCGCCGTGTCCAGGGACATTAGTCAAGGTACAGCAAAGGTGCTGTGAAAGGTCTCGCTCCAGGCGTTACTGCCCAGCACGGGCCAGAGGACCATGCACAAGCCTGGAACGGGGGGAAGCAGCAGGAGCTGGCCTCCAAGAGAGGCGCTTGGGGGGACCACAACTGGGGGGACAGGGACAGCTTGCTTTAGACCCCTCATGCCAATCAGCGATGGGTTTGGGTCTCTCTTACCTGGGGAACTAAGCGTAGGAAGAGGATTACTTGCGATTACTGATGGGGAAGTGCTGATACCTAGGTTAAAAAAGCCCTGAAGTTAGGTGGGATGGATGGGAGCTTTTAAACTACAGAAAACATTCTATCAAAAGCAGAACAGACAAACAAGCCCTCAGATGCTTTCAAGCTGAAATTACATAAAGGTTTAGCAGAAGGGGGAAAGTCTGCAAAGGTCTTTCAACAGAAGTGACTGAACAAGAGAGGAAAAGATCCAACCAGGAACACACCATTAGCTCCAGCTGCCTCGTTAAGAGCCATCCCTGCTCTCATTAGACCTGGGGCTGCTCGGGCGGCAACCCTGACTCAGAGCTTGTCCGTGGGCGCAGGTCCCAAACGGTCCTCAGTTGCTCTGTGCAGTCAGTCATGGGGTGCCAGCACGGGGGAAGCATCTCCAAGGTTCCCCCACTCGCGCTGAAGAAACAGAGGAGTGCTGCCACTGTGGCAGCTGACGTCCCCAGTGCTGTCCACCACCTAGCAGGGAAGTTCTAACACCCGCAGAAGATCTCAGCTTAGTGGGCACCAGCAGACGTCCCTCTTAAAAGACCACCAGGATGGGCGTGTTCTCCTTGCTGCCTAGCAGGACCTTCCCCGCCGCACACCAGCGCACTCTCTCCACGCCTTCCCAGCTCGCACGCC